GAATCATGTTTCACAAAAAAAAAAAAAACCGTTTCAAAATTCAGGTGTCTCAGTAAAAAAGCAATTTCACATTTCACTAAAAACTAGATCTAATAAAAATAATATAATAATAATAGGTTTATTAAAAATATGTTCAATGCCTGATTTTCAATCCGCCTTTACTCCGATGAAAAAATTGATACTGTCACGTGACCAAATTTGCATATTTTCGGACAACTTTTGTAGATTGGTATTCAAAATATATACACGTGCGCGAAGTAAAAAGGCGAAAAAATCGTATTTGTAAGGCGGATTTCAAACGTTTTTTAGTGTGTGAGTTAATTTTACCTCTTGCTAGTATCCCAAAGCGAATATAAGAATGTCTGGTTGCGTTGAGAAGAAAATTAAGAGCGAGTCCAATATGATTGTGACTGAACTCAAGCAATGCTTGCAAATGCGTGGCATCACAGTAAACGGCTATTTAATGCCTAATTTGTTCGAGATTGCTCAAGCTGTGGAAAAAATTATGTTACCTATTGACCCAAATCATGAATATGGAAATCAGTAAACGCAGGAAAAAACATATTATTCATGATATGGTAATCGAGTAGCCATTGTTATATGATGTTAATTGTAAATGACTTCACAGATTCACCGTCCTTTGGTTTATACGACATTTTTAACTATTTGATCTATAGCTCTGCTGAGTATGATAAACAAGGACTTACTGCGTATAAATCGTTTCATGATTATCAGCACTCTTTGCCATTTTTATAATGTTTTGTCGAGCGGATGATACATCGGCAATAACATATATCCTTCTACGTTCTTCTCAACGCAATCAGACATTCTTATATTCGCTTTGGGATACCAGCAACTCACACACAAAAACAGTTCAAAATCGGCCTCACAAATACGATTGTCTGTCTGGGTACGAGAGTTGGGTTGAGTGGCGAGTACGTCCGACGACTTCCAAAACGTCTACCCGAAGTTTTTACTCTTGTGCAATCGAGTGAAGTCGATCATATAAACTGTTATCGCGTATTATGCTATTATGACCATTATAAAATAGATCGAAATAAACAAAGCAAAATCACAGCGCACGCAACAGACATCCTTAATTCTCATTTCACCGAGCACTTGATCGACAATCACCGCTCACGGCTGTTGAACAAATCTCATTTCACAACACTAAAATCAAGCATTTCACACAAACAAATATTGACCATTCACGGCTCATAAAAATACCCTTTCCCACCCACAGAGAAGCTAGATGTGAAATCTGACATATCATGGCACAAAACATGATTTCGACTGATTGGAATAGGTGCCGGGACTAAAGAATGTTGGTGTCAATTGTACGTGCCTGTATAGATATTACGGTCCTTACTATGTTAGTTCTGAATATGTGCACAATGACATAGCCAGTTAGAATACACTTGTTGTTTATTTTGGATAATCTGCAAATAATAACTGCTGGCATATTTGTCTCTTGCGTTTCAATTGTATGTTTAGTAAGAATGTAATATTTGTTTGACTGTACAAAATACACAATTCAGAACAAATGTGGTTTAGCTCAGTTTTATTAAATGGTCCGTGAAATTTATGTTTTCTACAATGGAAATTAAAACAAATGAGCGATGAAAGTTATTCTTTGCATCACTATACTCATTTAAAAAATTGTTTCTATTGATAAAAAATCGTCACATATGTCTAATGAAAGACTATGTACTACATATTTCAGTCCAACTATACTACAAATTGTATCATACTCATTCAATATGTTTCAAAATCATTACAAATTCAGTGGTGAAGGTATTCCCTGTTCCTCAGCAAGCAAACGAATTTTCGCCAGAACACAATCCAAATCAAAATATCCAACCTCAAGAAACCTCACATTGTCGCCGCGATCTTTAAATGCACTTCTTGCATGTAGAACTCGATAATTATTGGTTGTCATGAGATCACCTGGTTTCATTTTATGCCAAAACGAGATTTTCTTGTCTAACATTAATTCAGAGTAGCGAAAATAGGCTTTATAAAAGGATTTCATAAGCTTAGGTTCGATTGACATGTGATTATCACGAAATTCATCACTATAAGTTGCCTGCTGTATCCTTTTTTCATGATCAACTCTACAAAGCAAAAATCATATATCCGATAATTAAATACAAAATCGGATAGGAAGAATTTTTCCTCTATCCCACTTTTTTCTAAAATAATATTGCTGATTGCAATGACATGCCACACAAGTGCACCTGTTTTACGCAGAGCATTTTTTCATATCGCATGAAAGTGTTCAAAAACCGAAAATCTTTTTGGCGTACCTCTCAAAATTGCTTTGTTTTATTATTATCTATATAATATGTACTGTAGACTAAACCAAGTATAATGAAAGCACTGGAAATATATCTTTCATTTCTGCTTTGTGTACAGTATTATATTGCTCTTTGCCAAAATGCCAAAGTTATAATAAGGTGCTAATCACGCCTCATCAATTCCTACACCACCCCCAAGCAATTCTGTTGCTGCCCTTCCGCTTTACCGGCGGAGCGAACGCCTTGAGCAGGCGTCTTGTTTCAAGATAAAATAGGCAACGTTTTGGATTTATTAGCAATAATATGAGATAAAGAAAAGGCTCAAGGCCCACTAACAATATACTGACTGACTCACCAACATTGAATTTAAGTTTTAGCCTTATTTTGTTATTAACAAGACACCCTATAACCTATTAGCGTTAGTCGCTTGGGCTATCCGGGTATTAGGCAGCGCTGGTTGGAGTGTCCGCCCATAGAACGTACACCATTATTATAACAGGTAACAAAACCACTAACCTGATTATAGGACGACGGGATGCAGCATAAAATTGTCCACGTTTCGTCAGTGTTATATTACGAAATACCACAGGTGTATTGACCAGTATTTGAAATGATTCTGGATCTTCTTCAAAGAGGAGATTTGCTGCATGGAAACCATCTACCCATAAATTGGCACCACCTTCACCTTCCGCTTGCTCAATGCAATGAAGCACTGTAACCTAAATCAGATATAATGTAAATACTCTATTAAACCTCTCAAAAAAGCGCCGGTCATATAAGTCGCCTCTCTCCAATAAGAGCTCTCTCATAACCCCCTTCCCCCCTCTTTGGGGAAGGAAATGTAAGCCCCCTATCCTCTATTAAGTTACTTTCTTTCCCAACTGCAAATCTTCCTCAACTTCGATTTGATTGCGATAATCTATTCCTACGTCGTCATTTTCAATACTGAATCAATCATTACCATGGCGTTCGAAACGTTTTGTGATAAGCAAACGTCATTTTCAAATTATGATTTTATATAACGTTACTTTAAATTCCGTAATTTGATCGGTTATTAAGAAAAAAATATTTGTAAACTAAGTTTGTCTGTCAGTAAAAAGGTTTGTAAAAAAAGTAGCACGCGCATATGCAAAATGAAGTTGACCATGGCGTTTATGTTATGTACATAATCCTCAGCACTTTGCCTTTTTTTCCAGTAAAGTAAGGAATTTAAACTGAATTCACCGATGGGAAGTCAATAAAAATGAAAGACAACGTGGTGCGCTAGATGATAATGGAATACTGATGAGCTGAAAGGAATGGCGTAATGCTACTAACGATAACTGAAGAAACCGCTGTGGCGTTTGATCCGAAATTTAATTATATTCTCTACTCTGGCTTGTTCAGTATGGCTAATTTCTCCCATTAACGAGATGGCCTTAATTCCAAAATTTGATTGATGACGTTTACAGCATTATTTGTTCAGCGAATGCTTTTCCAAAATGTATTACATTAGTTCTACAAGTTTTTCTCTGTACTCATATAGAAGTTCTTAAAGGTATGACTAATTTTAATCCTTTGCCATGGTTAAATCCAGTTTTCAATTGAAAGCGGCTAGCAGACTTCGATAAGTGTTTGCAGAAAATGCGGAAATAAAAATGCTTTTGTATTTGAAGATACGTGTGTGTCGCACGCCAGAGGCATATGGGTGAATCTCGTATCCAGGGCCTCTGCGCTTGCGGCTCTCACAAGCGTAGAAGCCCTAGCTACGAGGTTGCATGTGGGTCGCTTAAGCTCCCCGTTACAGTTTTGCCATCTTACTTGTTACCAGTCCCTGCATTACTCAGTTACAGGATAATAAAAGGCGTGCACAGAGGACTAGGGAGTAGTCAGACGATATGCACACTTATAATGCGCCTTTTCTACGCCAATAACCTGCCATATTACCTATACCACTATAAGTTTAAATAAAGACTTACCGAAGGCGCGGACTGGTTGAATGTAGTATCCGTATGGATGGGTAGAAAAGAATTAGTGTAACCAATTTCATGTGCTGTTTCCCCGGCGATTGCCCTTAGTTGATAAAAATCGCTAAAAAATATTGATATACTGAATTTACTCAACCTAGAAATCCAACGCTAACAAATTAGTCTCGCTCCTATTTCGTTTTTTGATGTTAGCGATTGACGTTTTTACTTTTCACGGTCAATTGTCAACACGCTTTGAGCGATTAGAAAATATACTCCCTATACAAAGCTAAGTGTACCTTTCTCTTTTTACCTTTAGCAATTCACATTACATTTCGAATGCCCGCCGGAGTCCTATATTGAACCCTGGTATATCGTTCAACATGTGAATATGATTATGTGCTGATTAATTTAACGAGCGCGTAAAACAGTTAAAACACTTTTTTGTTAAAATTCGTTTTAGCTTTCAATTAGAATTTTCATATACAATTTATGCAGTTTTAATATGCTCGTACGATTACAATGCATCCTAAACTCCGAAGGAACTGAAGTTTTGGTGTTTACAACAAAAGGATGATTTCTAAAGTGTCACTTTTTTAGACACCCTGTTTATCGGAGGACATAATATGTATAATAAATTACTTTAAAGATAATATCCAGTCGAATCTGAGCATGCGCGGAGTTTATTGTTTTAATTGGAATCGAAACAACACCGCGGAAAAACGTCTGCGCATGCGTCAAGATTACTGAAATCTGTATTGCGAACGTGATGTCAAGTGTTCCGAACGTTGTCAAAAACTCAAAATGGAAGCGACTTCGATATTTTGACTTTTCCGTGAAAACGCTAGCGGAATAAAGAATGTGACAACCTAAAAAACTAGAAATAATTACAGTCTACATGTGTAAGAAATAGTATTATGCAAGAAAATAAACCAAAGGTGACTGTTTGTTGATAAATTTATTGTATAAAACGTTCTTTAACTGAACCATACAAAGATACTTTTCGTAGGTTCATATAATCCACATTTTTGTCAATAAGTTTTTTTGCGTAGCATGTATAATTTTTGCGTTGACTATACTCAAGGGTAATGATTTACTCTACAATTTAATCGTTGGCAAATGCTTAACTATTCTATAGTTTTCTTAACTTTTCTGCTTTAAGTTCGGTATTCGACAATTTTTCAAGAAATAATCACACGTCTTCCGGTCTTAAACGGTAATTTTTAATTTAAATGCTGTTTCTTTTTAGATTTTAAATCTTAGAAAACTTTTTATTAATGTCTAAACTACCCGTCTAGTGTAATTTTTTTTGTTTGTTTCAATTACCTTAAATAATTAAATAGCCATGTTTTTGTTTACAATTTGGCATTTAAATTCCTCGCCATCTTTTTGTGCCCACGCATGCGCTGACGTTTTTCCGCGGTGTTAATCGAAACAAACCATATTTATTTAGTATTTTTGCACAAGTGAACATAACAAATCCTACACGTTGATTGGTCAAATTTGACGTAATAAGCTGTTATATTCACCTACAGGTGAATATAACAAAACAGAAATTTTTAAAATGGCGGCCACCCGTTTTGTGGAAGTTTACTGACAAAGAAATAACTGAGCGAAATTAATATAAATTCAGTCTCAAAAAACACAAAAGCTTTGTAAGAATACTAAAACAATTATTCGCCTCAGGCTCGGTGATTATCGGGAAATATTCACCTCGACCTCGTCTCGGCGAATATTCCCCGATAATCACCTCACAACTTATTAGGGACTTGAAAGTGATTCCACATGGCGCCCAAGGCGAGGAGGAGTGAGGTGGCATTCAAACGATAAATATTATTGTACTTCTTTCTACTTCCAAAACGAACAAAACATAAGTTCAAAATGATGCAGAGGACAATTAAAGGACTTACTAGAAATACATGCATGCAGCAACCCCTCGCATGTATTTTCCAAACATTGATTTAACATGAAGTATTAGTAATTGATCAACACTGAACGCGGGTTCGCGTTTACGTCAGTGTTACGATGGCAACACGATAAATTTAATTTCTATTATTTTTTTGTCCAAGACGTCAAAAGTAGCTGAAAAATTATTGCTTTAAATTAACTATATAACAATACATTTCCGGAATATGTACTGTAGGTATATTGTTCTACATTTTGTGAGCTTTGATTTAATGTAAAATTTAACCTGAATCGCTTCGTAAAATGTTTTGAAATGTTCATTTTAATATTAAACTATAAACTGCTTTTTCCAATAAACTGTTTTTACCTTATAAAACAAAATAAGTTCAAATTGTTGAGTAATTTCAGTTCAGTCTTCAAATTAATTTGCTCTCCTTTACATTTTATCTTTTTTCTTAAATTAAACAGGGTAATTTAGCAAACTTTCAGTGAAAAGGAAAGCGGTGCATGTTTTACGGAAAAATTAAAGCAACAAAATATTCATAAACATTCAGCATTCAAAGCAAACTTGCCCTATATTCCACGATTTTCCACAGCAAATCAATTCTTCTCATTTCTTCAAACAAAAATTGCTTCAAGGCTCATTGACATTAATTAATTAAGGTTGTGTGAAACGTGATTTTCCAAATATATGCTTTTAAAAATTGAAATCTTGTTTATCCCACTCCTGGCAAACAGCCATATTTTTTAGATCAGTCAGGATGACCACCCAGGGTTGGTGACCCACGCCCGCGATCATTGATGAACTATAGACTCCGCTAATACTTCCCTTTCCCCAGGTGTAGATAGCCGGGCGGAATTAGTACCCGGGCTGACGCCCGGAACGCGCGCCGTTGGCTCGGAGATAATATGGAAGGAGCGAAATAAAGTATTTACTGTCAATTTTTCTTTGGGTAGTTTCTTTGGAGGTAGGTAATCTTCGAGTTAAGCCTTTCGAGTTAAGTCTTTGGAGATAAGCCCCGACTACGCCCAAACCACACCCATTTCGTCAAGGGCTTAACTCGAAGAAAGAAACACAACTTGCGGGAAAGTTCGAGTTAAGCCCCGTGAAAAAAGAGGGGCTTAACTGGAAGTCATTGAAAATATTCGACGTTCGAGTTAAGCCCCGACATTTGAGGCATGTAAAAGAGCAATGATTTGAGTCGCCCACAATCTAGCTGGAAATAGTTATCATATACTTCTCGGCTTAAATAAGCTGCAGCCTAAATGAGCCAACTCGTATTAACAGTCAATTTTCATTAAGTAACAGATTATTTTGGACTAGTTTTTGTAGGGGTAGGTATTTTTCGAGTTAAGAACTTCGAGTTAAGCCCTACGAGTTAAGCCCTTTTCGAGTTAAGCCTCAGCCACGCCCTTTTTTGCCGGGGGCTTAACTCGAAGTCAATTAACGATTTAATTTAATGTATACTCGCAAAAATATTGGCAAATCAATATGTAAGAAGGGAGAATGTAAAATTTTAGCAATTTTAAGAAATATATTTTACTTAGATCTCTTTGCCTACAGTTTTTTACAGACAATGACATCGTGAAGCGAGAGAGCTCAGTAAGGATTTCTGCGTAAACAACAGCTCATTCAGGGCGGCAATTATGGCTTTAAAAACTAAATAATATATAGCGGCACTTGCAGAACGCAAATCTTAGGCATGTTGATATGGAGGCGAGCTATCTTTCTAAGATATATCGCTTCTCCGGAGTAGGGGAGATGAATACTACAGCGTGACATCATACTGAATTGCTTTGTTAGCTAGAACTTCATTCTTGATCATTCTGATTTCTGAGAATATCCAAATAGTACATAATCGTGATATTTTAGTTTGATTCGTTTACCGTTGTTGTGATTCGGTTATTATTTGCCGTTGGTAATTAGTGGAAATATTTGTATCTGTTATCCTCTTGTAATAGTTTGAAATTCCTCCTGTCTGTTCTCTCTCTGACGGTTTCTTGGCAAGATGAGTTACTCGCTTGTGTCATTTAAATAGTCACCGAAAAACTATAAAACGATTTACATAATATTCTAGTCCTAGACCTTGTCGCTGCCGAGCAAATTGGTTGGAAAGGTAGCTCACCTCCATATGAACATGCCTAAGATTTGCGTTCTGCAAGTGCCGTTATAGCCTATATATTATTTAGTTTTTAAAGCCGTAATTGCTGCCCTGAATGAGCTGTCGTTTACATTCAAATCCTTATTGAGCTCTCTCGTTTCACGATGTCATTGTCTGTATAAAACATAGATATCTTATATACACTAGATAGTGCATCTAATTATTCTGTAATTCAAAAATTGAAGCCGTGATTGCAGACTCAGGATATTCCCATGAAATGAGAAGACTCGTATGTTTTCTATTTCTTAAACAGGGAACTTAAACATTAAGTTAACCCTATTCCAAATACATTTTCAAACTATTCAAATGATGAAAGTTATTGTTGTTTTTAAGCGTTTATTAGCGAGTGGGAAACCGCAACATGGCCGCCATCTATTCAAATGGGGGCAACCGCTGGAATATTCTTGACTTCAATTTTACTAAAAGAGATGCGCTATCTAGTGTATATTAGATATCTATGGTATAAAACTGTAGGCAAGGCAACAGAGATCTAAGTAAAATATATTTCTTAAAATTGCTGAAATTTTACATTCTCCCTCCTTACATATTTCTGCCAATATTTTTGCGAGTATACACGCGTCACTTGTTTACATCCACCAAATGTCGGGGCTTAACTCGAATGGTTAAATCGTTAATTGACCTCGAGTTAAGCCCCCGGCGAAAAAGGGCGTGGCAGGGGCTTAACTCGGAAAGGGCTTAACTCGGAGGGCTTAACTCGAAGGGCTTAACTCGAAAAATACCTACCGCACTCCCTTAACTCGAAGAGCTTAACTCAAGGGGCTTAACACGAAGAATACCTGCCTCGTTTCTCTGTTTCGTTGAGAAGTTGACCGGACGTTTACATAAACATAACATAAATTTATTCTTAGGCCACATAGACCTAATGGAAAGTTAAGAGGTTGACCCTATATATTACAACAACTTCTAAAAGAAAATTCTAACTGAAATATAGTACTAGTTTCTACAATTTTAATAATAAATAGACTTAATATGGGGGAGGGGAAAATCTCCCAGGATATTCGCTCCCCCCCCCCGGGGCGAAATCCTTAGGAAAACCGCCCATGTAAACATTGACATTGTGTAGTAAATAATATCAGTATGTTTAATATTCTTGAACTGTCTGTGCCAGTATAGGTAGTGCCAATAATAGAAACAAGTACAAGTCGTTTCGTTGGTAGGGATGCAACTACATGAAAAATATAAGGAGAATTTCGACGTTTCAAGCGAAGGCCTTTCGTCTTCGAAGTCGAAATTCTTCATATATTTTTCAGGTAGTTGCATCCCGCCTACCAACGAAAGCTTGTTTATACGAAAGTCACTAAAAATTCTCAGTGTATATATGTTGATGAAGCAGTCGTACCTGTCACTGACAATTTAACTTACTAATTGTACAGCCTAGACCTAGGCCTTCTAGTCTTATTTATATTTTTTTAATATTCAGCGCTTTTTCACATGAAAAGACTGGGACTAGGTGATTTGGGGGCGAGGCGGAGGAAGCAAGCCTAGAAGGCCTAGTTGATTTCCCAACAACAAGGCCAAAACTGCCCTGAAACTGCCCTGGTTGCGAAATGCCCAATTATTGCGTTTTCAAACAGAATTATTTGCAACTTAACGGCGAATTTAAACCGATACAGGTAAAATAAACTCATTATAGTATAACCTTACTATTTTTATTTGTATACACGTCTAGAAAATCGGGGTTTTTATCATAAAGTTCGAAGCAACACTATTATTTAATATGTTGACAAGGTGTAGCGAAAGCACAAAATGAGTCAAAATATATGCCAAAAGTAGAATTTTTCATGAAATTTTGTCTTATACACAACTACATTAATATATATTTTCTCAATTTTGGCAAGAAGCAGTCTTGTGTTTGTAAAATATACAAACACATATACAATTATAATTTATCAAAAATAAAACGGATACATATATTATTAGCCCGTACAGTACTGTTATAAAAACGTACATTGTTTACAAATGGTATATCCGTAATATTTGAACAATAATTTCAAATTCCTCATTCCCAATTCGCAAATATATAGTTATTCAAAGCAAAACAGTAGATTGTCTTGCGAATAAAAGAATTATTATTTTGTGCTTTCGCTTCACCTTGTCAACATAATAATAGTGTTGCTTCAAACTTTATGATAAAAAAACCGATTTTCTAGACGTGTATACAAATAAAAATAGTAAGTTATACTATAAATGAGTTTATTTTACCTGTATCGGTTTAAATTCGCTGTTAAGTCGCAAATAATTCTGTTTGAGAACGCAACAATTGGGCATTTCGCAATCAGGGCAGTTTCAGGGCAGTTTTGGCCTTGTTGTTGGGAAATCCACTAGGCCTTCTATTTCTTCGCTTGCGTCAGGCTTGTATCCTTCCTCCGCCCCGCGCCCAAATCACCTAGTCCTAGTCTTTTCATGTGAAAAAGCGCTGAATATTAAAAAAATATCAATAAAAATAGAAGGCCTAGGTCTAGGCTGCTAATTCTATAATGTTATTATAAATTATTAAAGATCATGTCAAGTCCGTAATGTAAACAAATTCTTTGTTTACATTAGTTTGAACTGGTATATTTGTAAAATAAGACATACTAACTGAATACCTAACACTTTTTTGGTTCGCAATTGTAAATGAATATAAACTAGAGTATGTTTCAATTCAAAAAAGTTCGAAAGATGCAAAGGGTAATGTTTAATATCTGTGGTTCCCCTTTGTTATGAGCAGAACTGATGCGCAGAACGGACTTGACATGGTCTTTAAGCCAAATGGCACTTATAATCATGTATGATTGATAACAATGTATGATTCTGTATAGGATAGCCATAAGCATACATCTTTTAGTAACTGATATGGCTTTGAATGTATTGACATTTAATTTGGGTACTTATTTCAGAAGTAAAAAAATCGTGCATACGGTTCTGATTGGAAAAGAGTCTACCACTGATTGGGAAACTAGTCAATATTAGCAATGATACTAACCCGTAACAATTTCGCATGAGATAGCCAACTCTTTCACCCAGTACTGGCAACTGATTTGCTTCTTTGGGCGCATTTTCAACTTTGGCAATTCCAGTTTCAATTTCCAGAGTCACGAGCCATTTGTACAGTTCTTGATCATCATTCAATAATTTTTGAAATTGAAACGTTGGCATGTTTCCTTCTTCAGACAATTCTTGACCCCATAATTTAACCCCCTTCCTCAAAACACCATCCGGCTGACCTTCCCCTGGTGGACGATACCTGTTACAAAAAGAATATCGATCGAAGTTGTGATTTCCATAAATGATTTAATAACGGCACCTTTTTATCCCTTTTCTTAAAGTAAGATATTTAATAAACACCCATGACGTTTCTTATCTTATTTACGGTAATTGCGAAATTATAAATAATCAGTAAGCGATAAAAACTGTACACTAGGGAAAACTAGACACGCTCGATAAATCTAACAATGTATATTAAGTTTTCTAGAGGCAAAGGCATAACAACAATTGCTAGGGGCAAAACCTTAACGACAGAGGAAACGTTTTAACGACAGAGGCAAAGCCTTCACAACAAAATGATTCGCTCAATAATCTGGCCTGTGTTTGGAGGTGACACTGTGATATTTATATTAAAAAAATCTTTGGCACCATTGCTGTACAAAAGACATAAAATAGCAGCATGTCATACAGCAAAAGAGCGCTGAGGATTATGGATTTGTAAGACATCCAGTTTTGTACTACGTCACCTAAAAATTGGCTACTTTCCAATTTTTAAATTAAATAATCCAAAACAGGAACGTTTTACAAACTTGTAAATGGGGATATGGGCATCACTTATACTCCTTACCGACAGGCCCTTATTTAAGAAATAGAAAACAAATCGTGTGCGTTTGTGGTGTGATAATGCACCCGGGGAATTTTGGGAGAATACGAAAGACGCGTATAGGAAGTTAGTACAGGAGGAAATCTAAACTAAACCAACTCTATTTTTACTGGATAGCTCTATCAGTTCTAAACCGTTCTTCCTAGAGGTCCAGTAAGTATTTTTTCTTATTGATCCAGTGTTGCTACAGGAGGAAATCTGAACTAAAACTAACTGTATTTATACATGATAGCTCTATCAGTTCTAAACTGTCCTTCCCAGATGTCCAGTAAGGATCATCTCTTTTTTATCCAGTGTTACTACAGGAGGAAACCTAAACTAAACTCACTTTATTTATTTATTTATTTATACTGGATAGCTCTGTCAGTTCTAAACTGTCCTTCCCAGATGTCCAGTAAGGATCATCTCTTTTGATCCAGTGTTACTACAGGAGGAAACCTAAACTAAACTCACTTTATTTATTTATTTATACTGGATAGCTCTGTCAGTTCTAAACTGTTCTTCCTAGAGGTCCAGTAAGGATCATCTGTTATTAAAAGATCGAAATTTCCTATAAATTTGTTTCATTGGATTTACTGACCGATGACAGAGAATAGTAGATTGGTATTTACATTAAGGTGGCTCCCTACAGTTAGTACAGTTTAAATACGATTTATATAGATCAGACTTCATCCTCGCGACCTGCGCGTGGAATCGTCGTGTTTACTGTTCGGCAAAAATATTGAAACAAGCCGCGGGAAGTTTTTTGGCGTTTTTATCTACAAAGAAAGCTCCAGTTTTTCATTATAATCCTAATTTTTTTGTGAATTCGAACAGTACGTATGTTATTAACTAGTTTAGCCAATCTTTTAGTGTGTTTTTACGTATTTACGTTCAGTATTGTCTTTCATATTGCTCAAAATTTTCAACTTGTTGTGTTGCGAACTGTCAAACTGAAATGATACTGTCTTCTATAACTCTTGAACAGTAGTGAACTGTCGCCGAAACTTATGTAAGTTCTGTCAATCAATTCAATTCACAGGTATCGTTTTATCTGCTAAATCAAATAAAACAGTTATGAGTTGTTTTATATGAAAAGTTAAACTTGTAGTTCGATGTTTTGAAAAGTTTTCACACCGATTTTAACAACAAAAACAAATGTAAACTAACACTGGATTTAATACAATGCGTATAATAGTGTTTTTTATTAGTATTTTCAAGATTAATATTTTATTTTCATGTCAAACAAGTCAGAAATATCTGTTTTCGTATGTATTGTAAGCCAAAAAGTTGAAATCACTATAAATCACACGCTACAATTTACACGCATGCGCAGATCGTGCTCATGTCGAGTCGATTTTTTTTCATGCTGGCCACGCCGATTTTAGCGATGATTTTCTCGTGTTTTCTTCGGTGAAATTTTTTTAAACTTTGTATTTTTGTTATACAAGACGAGTGGTACAACATATCCAAATTTTAAGAAATTCTACAAATAACTTTTTCTGTAACCGTCATTCACGAATATCTCGAAAACTTATTTGTAAATTCCCTTCAAATTTTGATATGTTTTTCCTTTATGGGCCATAAATCTTCAAAAAAAATTTCAGAAAAATTCACCGAAGGAAAATATAGATATTGTCAATTTATTGTGAAATTAGACAATAAAAGTGCAAAAGATTAAACATCATGGTTGCCATGGCAACACAAACACTGTTTTAATTTGTTCATAAATGGACAGCACACAGCTTCTGAACTTTCCTGGAAATGATCATATTGCCTTGTCTTAAGTGTATCTAATATAAATTCGGTTCAAAGCGAACGTTACTCAAAATACCTAGAATTTTAGAGAACTGTAGGGAGCCACCTTAAAAAGGGCATAAAAACCCGGATACATGCAAATAGGTGTTTTGCGAAATTGAGAGCAATTTTAAATCTGTTCAGTTTTTTTTTATACACCCTGTAGATGCGTTATCCAATCTTATTTCAGATCAGTGGTCGCAGCCAGTAAAAGCCAGTCAGTGCAATAGGGATTTGTATAACGAAATGTACATTTTGATCACAAAATCGACTATTTTATCGGAAACAAGGGATTGGAATATCAAACTACTACAACTGCCTGCAGAGGCAATGTAAGCCTAAATTATTATTGTGGCTAGCATAGAAAAAAACGAATATTTAGGGAGAAATTTGATATTGTTGTGTGAGCTACAGTCTGAATCGGAATGAAATGCTGACAGGCGATCGCGGTTTATTTCGAATTTTATCAGGATAGGTTTTGGATTGCATCAAATTTTATTTACAAAAGTATAAATTTCAAAGTGGCGAGCAATTAATCAAATTTATTTCGTGTGGGAAGTTGTCTGTCTGTGTCTGACATGTTGAACTACAAATACAAACAATATCAGACAATAATATTATTTATTTATGTAATTAAAATATCACGATTATGAATTAACGTTCATTCCTATTAGGGACTGGGCATTATTTATGGAAGGGTGTGGAGGGGAATTTTTTCTTTCCTAAATTTTTAAAATTGAAAGCCCCCCGTTAAAAGAGCAGAAATTTAATGATGACCCCCCCTACATATTAGAATATTTTTTTTGACCCCCCCCCCCCATTTTAATTTTTACTCGTCAAATGGGGATACCCAGACGTTATAGTGTTAATTATTAGATAAGAATATGGAACTGAGAAGATATTAACGTCGACCAAAAACATATATTAGCAGAAAATTATCATTAAAGGTGATCTACAGTCCGTATGTAAACAAAGCCTTTGTTTACATTTTTGTGTCCAAAATATTGAGCTTTATTCGACAACTATTTATATTTTCAAGCTTCTAGAGTATAATAAATTATCAAGAAACAACAATCAGGCTTTTCAAGAACTCAAAACATAGTTAAACTGTTTGTATCATAAAAAGGAAAAGGTATCTAAGCGCTAAACTTGCTGCAGCTAGGCAAAGCATACAATGGCAGAATGAATACACAGACCGAAGCACTGATCACAAGGCGCAAAACAACCCCCTTTGATCGATATGATGTCACAGACTCCCCTCAGCGGATGTGGCCTGCATAATACATTCGCCGTCAACCTTACTTAAATGTATTTAACCACATCAAGATGGCTGATGTAATAATACAATGTCAATTTATCTCTGCAATCAGTAAAGACTGATTTGCATACAGCACATCAGTAACTATGATTTAGTCGCAACATTTACAACCAAATGGATACCATGCTTATTAAGCAAATTCCTTCAAATTTAATTGCAACCCCCCACCCTCATTTTCTTGAAAAAATTAATAGCTCCCCCTTCTAGTCATTTATTTATACATATGGCCCCCCTTATTTTCTCCCTCCCCCCCCTTCCATAAATAATGACCGGTCCCTTACTAACCTTCGAAGACATCGAATTTTTCCAATAAATAAACTAAACTATATCATATGTTAATATACTGTACTGTATACTTTGTAAGTGAACAACATGTATTAATACGTTTAAATTTCGCATTTGGCAATTCTCTAATAGCTCATAACCAATAGAAATGTATTCACTAACCTTCAAATTACAACCAGCGGCCGTGGTTTGTAATTTGAATTGTTCCTTTACGAAATATAGTCGATTTATTCAGTCAAATAAAATGGCCATTCTACAATACAATTATACAAATTTCTAACACTAACTGACTGGCTTTTACTGGCTGCGAGTAATTAGAGCGGGCAATTTCCGGTATGCCCGAGGCGACATGCGCGGCTTCAAAAACTTTAAAGGTTCCGACTCAAGATGCCCTTCAAATTCTAGTTAAAAAGATTATTGCCCAGCAAATAACTCGTCAAAGAGGCATATTCAAAAAACATTTGGAATATAAAAAATATTTATTGAGTAACGTTTCGTCACATTACAAGCGACATAATCAGAATAAAATACAGTTAAGCTATTTCATTTCTTATTCTTTGTCTATAGTGACATACGCGGGTAAAATCATACGACACATGCAATATGGATTGCCTTAGATATCGGTATATGTTATACTTATACGTTGTATCAAAGTGTCATTGTTGTCAAGCTTACGAAATTTGTAAGGGTCAGGGTAAATTTCGTAAGCTTGCAAAAATGACACTTTGACACAACTTGCAACCTTGCAAAGCTACCTAAGAAATTATACTTAATACATTTTACACTTTGTCTTTTGAATTGTTATATTTTGGCCGACAGGTTTACACTTTGTACAATATATTAATGTGTGCGATGCCGTTTGTTTTTAGTGTATTTATTTTTTAAAATTTTTGAATAATTATCTTACATACATGTCAATCAACGTGTTATCAACGTATAAATTCAGCCAATCACAATTCTCGGCGGCTGGCTGCCGAGAGTGATCAATTTTACTATAGGGCTTTCGGGCAGGCCTATATAAGAGCCGCCACGCTGGCTAGATAAACACTATTATTATACTATACAGTATAGACAACTACCGGGTATGAGCTATTCTGCAATTTGATTAGCTCTTCACTAGTAGCAAACTCGCTAATATCCTGCCAGTAGAAAAACAAGATGGCGCCTCAAAATTAATTAAGTTTTCTGAACGAGAAAACAGCAGTCGCAACAAAAATTGCAAGTGTAAACCGGCCTTGGGGCGAACCGATCTGCATGGCCCGCCTAAGCAAGATAATCCCGCATACATTTGAAGCAGTGAGACAAAAATACCTTTCACGCAATGGAGCATTGAATTCACTCATGGCAATATAGCTCAGTGCACGATATCGAACTGGTAGTGGCATGTTTAAGGCGTAGGAATATGGAACATGAAATATCAAATTGAATTGTCCGGCCGTATCTGTTTTAATTTCATTGTTGAACGCTTCAAATTTGTCGTGAAGTTTTTTTCGCTTTTGTTTCAGTAATTATATTAAACATCAAATTATGTACTTAGAATGAGAGAGTGTACTTAGAATGAGAGTTGACTGTCACGCAATGGTACGGGGACAACCTTGTTCACAGGGGGTCCAACTAAGAGCTGTGTTATGAGTATGAATAAAACATTAATAAATCGTAATATGAATAAAACATCATAACGTATGACATCATAAATACAAAAACTAAACTGTAACCATAAACCAAATGATATACATAAACTACAGTGGCGCGCCAGCGCGATAATTTGGGAGGGCGAATATTCATATAGTTGTGTTCATAGACCATAAAAACAATGGATTTCAAAAGAAGTTAATAATGCAGAACACGAAGATATGAATATTCGCCCTTCCAATTATCGAGCTGATAACGTCACTGATAAACTAATCTAAACTAAACTATAACTTGTTGAAAGTCAGCCTTCAGCTATTTAGAAAGGTCAGTGTGGTGGAAAGTTATACTTGCACGAAAGCTAAACTGTGCATGGCTTCGATGAGACAGGAGAGCATGGCACAGGAGAGCAACTTGCTGAGCTAACCGCCTCGCGAGGCGGTTAGCTCAGCAAATTGCTCTCGTGTGCGGCGGGCTTAAAGCGTGATTGCAGCGACCACATACCTCAAATACTTTAACCACTCAAATGAATAATGACTCGTATGACCATCTTCCCAATTAACTTCCAACTGATCATCCTCAGTATTCCAGGCAGCTGACTCTGCTGTGATATCGAGATTAACTTCCTTCGGCGAATACATTGTACGTGATTTCCTTTCATCTGTATAACATGCTGGACAACGGCAATTCTCGCGAAGATAAACATGTGGAAATTCATCGACATTGCCGTCGTTCCACTTGATCACTAAGCATTCGTTCTCGTTCTTATAAACATTTTGAGCCGCATTGTATGAAGCCGACAATGTTAAACAGCGATGTGTGCTGTTATTTAACAAACGCCGCAGTTGAGTTCCAAGCAAACTGCGTGCTTTTACTCTTAGGGACAGCATAGCTATAATGAATTCGTTGTGTCCGCGGCTAATTTTTCACAATTCTCATCAAGTGGCAGCTATATATATATAGTTTCAGCAAAAGAACCAGAATTGCACCCCACGCCACTTGAATTATCATTAAGAAACAATATCAGAGTGCGGCTTAACCTGAAGTTCAGGCCCTAATTTTAAATAGGGCCTGACAGGCTGACACAAAACCTGTTTAGACCGTCGGACGCCCACATGTTATTTTTAGACACAGCATGCAATATGATTGACAAGTGTTGTAGATTGTGTTACACAAAAAATTTATATTCACATGAACATGTCCGCAGAGAGTGCATTTTGCTTTTTAATTAAACTTAAGCATTCAAGGTACTTTTATATAATTAAAAGTCAGTTTCTCTGTTTAACCGAACAAAGATTTAACTAGTCAGTTCCGTGCACGGCTTGACTGCCAAGCTTTCTCAAGGTCTCAACTTGCTGGACGCGGATATACTCTACGGACTAACAACAGCAACAATGAAATTCTCAATCGTACCACAAAGAAGGCGATGTAGCTCAGAAAACAACGCCGGTAGGACCTGATATTAAAAATAAGACTTTTGCCGGCGAAGCCAGTTGGCAGAACATCTTGACTGTCAACAACAAGCTTTCGAATACATGACTAGTTTGGCTGTTCTTTCAGCATTGTGTGTCCAAAATTCGTCAAAGATTTTGATAAAGCCCTTTCAAAATACTGTTTGTTTGATTTATTTTCTGCCATAAAGCATAAAAGAAAAGAAATTCGAAGAAATCGATTATGGAATTTGTCACGTGCGTTTGACCTTCATATTAATTGTCGCCTTGAGGAGCTATTTTTAAAACTGTTGTTTATGTGAACTTGCAACCAATCAAAATCTTTCATGATGCTGATCAACCAATCAGATTTTCCGTCCACCAGATGGACGGGAATCCCACGGTTTAGATAGGTTTTGTGTCAGGCGCAATTCTGTGATTAGGGCCTGAACTTCAGGTTAAGTGCGACTATTCAATTTGACCGCATTCTGATTGGTTCGTAATGATAATTCAAGCGGCGTGGGGTGCAATGTTGTTTATTAAAATCAAACCATTTTGGCGAGGGCATGCATTGTGTTAAACCAGACAGAGCAATTGGCTGTCGCCACATCAAGTCGACATGTAATAATAAAGGCGCATCAAGTCGCCATGTAATAATATTATTTTTTATAAAATAGCCTTTTATAAACACGAGCGCTGATTGGTCAAAAGCTCAAAAAACCCGTGTTTCTATAACTCGATAGAAACACGGGAAATTTTCACGCGGGTTGCGTTGATTGCGCGGGAGTTTAAAAGACAAAATACAAACAATATTTAATTTTGAAAAAAGTTGAAAAACGTCCCGAAACGCGGAAGAACTGTTACAAAAAAAGGCAACACTTTGCTAACTTAGAAAGCGAAGACCTAGAGCACAAAGTATAATTATAGCACATTGTATCTGTTTGACTGATTACCAAAATAAGATATTTTAATTTTACTTTGTCTTTTAAAAAAATATTTCCTCGCGACGTTTTTAATCATGTTTACTATAGTTTTTAATCATGTTTAAACGTTCACTAACTATCTAAAACAGTGCTTTCTTTGCATGCAAGCATGTACGTTGTTGAGTGAATTACTGATATACTTTGTAAAGTAAGCCTGTTAAGTGCTGTCTGTTGTTTTGACAGCGATGTACTTGTTTACTTCCCTCTGCTCTATAACTAGAAGTTACTATCGCAAGGAAAGTGCTGCCTCATCCCTAATGGATCAAAGCCAGCATGTGCAATTTGCTGAATAAGGGGCTGTTTATATGATCCTGCTTTGCTAGGACGAGATACAGGGTGATTTCGATGTATTGAAATAGGTCATGGTCTACAACATTTCAGTTCTGTTAACTAGCATTTGAACTTTTATTTAGCCTAGTAACTTATTTCAAAACTCAAAATCATCCCACCTTCCATCATGTAAATAGCCCCTAAGACCTGTTCATGGGGTAGGAAAAATGCATTTTGAATACCAAACACCTTGCACAATGTTGAAGGTCAGCTAAATATTCTATTTCTACTTTGTTGGCATGGGTGATTTTATATTCATACCTTCAATGCTAATAACGTCTTGCTTTTGTATGTATAATTATAATACTGTCTGTGGTGAAGCTAACCATAGCAACAGGTCATGCTATGCAAGTTTTTAATTATTTGCATTGTAGGTTTATTAGCATAGCATGACCAGTCGTCATGGCTAGCTTGCCACTGAATGCTGTACAATATCATATATATATATATATATATATATATATATATATATATATATATATATATATATATATATATATATATATATATATATATATATATATATATATATATATATATATATATATATATATATATATATATATATATATATATAATTATATATATATATATATATATATATATATATATATATATATATATATATATATATATATATATATATATATATATATATATATATATATATATATATATATATATATATATATATAAACAATAATAATACTTGAATGAACCATTGGGCATGTAGAATTTAATAACAATTTCATATATACAAATAAGTCAATTTTTGTCCCAATTATCATTTTAATGGCACCTTCAGGGCTATGTTCACAGAACTGAATAATCTGCTGATGGGAGTTTGGTTGACATTTTTGTTTAATGCGTATGTATTCGTCTGCTTCAGATGACACCATTAATTTCTAATGACTAAGATTGTACTCTGTCAGAACTGCAAAGCTATATAATAGGAAATAATTTGTGAGCATTATGCAATTATCGAAAAAATAGAGTGTACCCTAAAATGTACTGACACAGGCACACAACCAGGGTGAATATATGAATGTAGGCCGGTAGGATTATTTCATATTTATGCTAACAATGGACATATCTCAGAGATATATTTTTACAGACCGCCATAACTTGTACAAAAATCGGTTGACATGTTATATTAATACATGTAGGCTATTAAACTGCACGTATAAAGTTAATATATGCAGACAACAATCCACACTGTCGTCTGTCGCTGGGTT